TTGTGCTCAAGTTTGTGTGGACATGTTTTCATTTCCCTTGAGTAGATACCTGTGAGTGGAACTGCTGGGTTGTATGGTAACTCTGTCTAACATTTTGAGGGACTGCCAGCTGTTTTCCAAAGAAGCTGCATCATTTTATATTCTCACCAGGAGTATATGAGAGCCTGAGAAATATTTAATCTCTGCAGAGAGATTATTTCTCGGTTTAGGGTTTTTTTTTCTATTATATTTTTTATTGAAATATAATTTACATATACACAGATCTGTTCTTTTTTTTTTTTTTTTTTTTTTTTTTTTATGATAGTCATCACAGAGAGAGAGAGAGAGAGAGGCAGAGAGGCAGAGACACAGGCAGAGGGAGAAGCAGGCTCCATGCACCGGGAGCCCGACGTGGGATCCGATCCCGGGTCTCCAGGATCGCGCCCTGGGCCAAATGCAGGCGCCAAACCGCTGCACCACCCAGGGATCCCACACAGATCTGTTCTTAAGAGTGCTAGTGAGGGGTACCTGAGTGACTGTTAGTTAAGCATCTGACTCTTGATTTTGATTCAGGTTATGACATCAATGTCCTCCCCCCCCAACCATTTGCACACGCATGCATGCATGCATTCGCTCTCTCTCTCAAATAAATAAATCTTTATAAAAGTGCTAGTGAAATGCAGAAACATTACATCTAGGTAGCTCTATTCCTTTTTGTTCTATTATTGTCATGAAAATTAGGTCTACATGTTACAAACTCAACAATACTTGATTATAATTATGACTATATAATTTATTGCCTCTTAATAGAACCGAGAAGAAAGGGGAGAACAAGGATGTATTTTATAGTATTAGTAATGTTAGCCATATTTACCTTTTCTGGCTCTTTTCATTAGTTCCTGTGAATTCAAGTTACCATCTGGTATCATTTCTTTACTCCAGTTCAGCCCTGCCCCCATCTATTTCCTTTGTGCTGCTAATGGCAAATATGATAGAGACCCCAAAATACAATTTATACATAGTTTTCTACAAATTGCTCTGCAAATCCGTTAAATAGAAAGAGGAAATATGCATTTATGCTGTCTTTTATAGTTACATAGTTACATTTTAATCTTCACCTCCTGGGAAATGCCACGGCCCTCCAGTAGGAGTTGGCGACAAGAGAGTTCCCGGTCCTGGTGGCACCCTCCTGGTATGGCCATCCTCTGAGCTGAGAGGAGGAAGAAGGATGCCAGTGGCAGCTCAAATGCCCCAAACTTCAATGTGCAGCACTTAACAAGTTTTAGATTTTCTTGTATGTTTCATCACTTGGCTGTGTGCCCTTGGGACAATTTCTGGAGACGTTGAATGGTTGTTTTGTTCACCAGTTAGGGTTGTTTCACAAAGGGCTTTCATGAGTCAAGTTTAGTATATTCCTCACAATTTTACGGAAGAAGCAGGGGTGGGATTTCTTTTCTCTCTCTTTTTTTAAAGATTTTATTTATTCACAAGACAGAGGCAGAGACACAGGCAGAGGGAGAAGCAGGCTCCATGCAGGGAGCCCGATGCGGGACTCGATCCCGGGGCTCCAGGATCAAGCCCTGAGCCAAAGGCAGCGCTAAACAGCTGAGCCACCCAGGGATCCCCCTGGGGTGGGATTTCTAACCCTACAGATGAAACTCAGAGAAAAGGAACTTGCCTCAAGTTATAAAGCTTGTCAGAGCCCTGCTTCCAGTCTTTCAGGAAGGACATGCTAGCTCCGTGCTAAGCATTAAATTAAAAATGTTGAACAATTTACTGTCTAGACAGGAGACCAAAAACAGGCAATTATGCTACAAGTTCAAATGCCAAAATAGAGATAAAATACATGGTGCTTTAGGAAACGAGAAAAAAGGCATCAGGCTTGAGCAAGAATTTGAATCTAAGCATTTCGATTCTGAATTCTATTTTTCTTATAAATAGAAAAGACAAGTTTTCTTAAAGAGACACTGCACAATGGTTAAGAAGACAGACTGAAACCACAGTGGCAGACAGTTTCAACTTTGGTTCAGTTATTGATTGCTGTTACCCTTAGTAAATCACTTCAGTCTCTCGTGCTCCACTTTCCTCATCTGTAAAATGGTGCCAGTATTGCCCACCTGGCCTCTTAGGTTATAAAAGATTATATGTAATATGCTTAGAACTGGAGCTAGTGTAACCGTTTGCACTATACAAGTGATTGCCAAATAAATTCTATTACTAAAAAGATAGAGTCAATACTGAACTCCCCCAAGGTATGCTTATCAGTTTCATCAAAAATGATAAAATGCTTGGCTTGCAAAAGTTGACTTTTCAGAGTATGGTGCTTGTTTTATCAGCAAAATTGTTTCATTATACTGACCACAATGAGATTTAGGGTCATTTAAAAAGAACAAGGGGCTCCAGCTGGCTCGGTTGATGGAGTATGTGACTCTTGATCTCAGGGCTGTGAGTTCAAGCCCCATGTTGGGTGTAGAATTACTTAAAAATAAAATCTTTAGGGGCACCTGGGTGGCTCAGTTGGTTTCCATCTCTTGGTTTCAGCTTGGGTCATGATCTTGGGATCATGAGATTGAGCCCTGCATCAGGCTCAGCACATAGCAGGGAGTCTGCTGGAGATTCTTTCTCCCTCTTTCTCTGCCCCTCTCCCTGCTCTTGCTCTCTCTCTTAAATAAATAAATAACCCCTTAAAAAAAAAAGAGCAATAACTCCATTTCAGGAAATAATGGGAACTTTTATAATCTTCCAGGTTATAAATAAAAATTATATATATAAAATATATATAATTTTATTTATATAAATATATATAGTGATTTTAATTTTTTTATTGAAGTATAGCTGGCACGTTACATTGGTTTCAAGTGTATACAGTGATGGGACAACTCTACATTACGCTATGTTCACCACAAATGTAGCTACCATCTGTCACTTTACAATGCTATTACAGTACCACTGACTCTATTCCCTGTGCTGAATCTTTTATTCCTGTGATTTAGCCATTCCATAACTGGAAGCCTGTACACCTCCCACTCCCCTTCACCTATCTTGCCCACACTCCCCTCTGGGCAACCATCAGTTCTCTGTATTTGTGTGTCTGTTTCTGCTTTTTGGTTTTTAGATTCCACATATAAGTGAAATTATATGGCATTTGTTTTGGACTTATTTCACTTAGCATTAATACCCTCAAGTTCCACCTATTTTATCACAAATGGCAAGATCTCATTCTTTACATAGGAGTAATATTCCATTGTATATGTGATGCTGGAGGCTGAGGCCCCAAGAAAGAGGGCCTCAGGTCCCTCACCAAGGGGTTTTGGGCTTTGTGTGAGAAAGAATTCAAGAGCAAGCCATTTAGAGAAAGAGACAAAGATTAAGTTTACAAGAAAGAAGCTACTTCATAGACAAAAGTAGCAGTCTCTCCTCCCAGGAGACGAAGATTATCCTTCCTTGCCTCTAAGGGTTTTATAAATTATTTAAAAATTTGAGAAAGATTTGAGGAGTATACCTGCATGTGAGAACAGGGGAAGGGGCAGAGAAGGGAAAGAATCCTTGAGCAGACTCCTCACTGAGTGCAGAACCCAATTGGACACTCAATTCCAGGACTCTTGAGATCATGCCCTGAGCTGAAATTGAGAGCTAGCTACTCAACCAACTGAGCCTTGCAGGTGCCCCTATAAATTTTTTTTAACTAGCTAACTGTATAGGGTGGGGCTTACTCTTTTGGGTTTCTCATTCACCTTAGGCATTAGTTTTTCCATTGTTTTAGGATTGTGGGATTACCCACAGGGAACAATTTTAAGAATGTCTATGTGGCTTCTACTGCCATTGAGAATGAGCTTGCCGTCTTACACAAGTTGAATCTTGTGATTTTTTTTTAAGATTTTATTTATTCATGAGACAGAGGCAGAGACACAGGAAGAGGGAGAAGCAGGCTCCCTGTGGGGAGCCAGCCCTATGTGGGACTAAACCCCAGGGATCCCAACCTGAGCCAAAGGCAGAAGCTCAACCACTGAGCCACCCAAGCTCACTGGATCTTTTCTTTTTGACCTAACATTTCAGTTAAGAGGTCAGCCTAAAACCAATGGCTTTCCTTTGATCAACTTGTCTTCCAAGCCTCTCTTCCCTCCAGCCTCATTTATATGCATCTTCACTCATTCTACTTAAGACTGCTTCCTTATCTTGGTAGTGTAAATAATGCTGAATAAACATAGAAGGACATATATTTTTTTTTTCAAATTAGGGTTTTTCTTTGGGTAAATACCCAGTACTGGAATTACTAGATTGTACAGTATTTCTAATTTTTTGAGGAATCTCTATACTGTTCCACAGTGGCTACACCAATCTACATTCCCAGCAACAGCATACAAGGATTCCTTTTTCTTTTTTAAAGATTGTATTTATTTATTCATGAGACAGAGAGAGAGGCAGAGACACAGGCAGAGGGAGAAGCAGGCTCCATGCATGTGGGACTCAAACCTGGGAATCCGGGATCATGCCCTGAGCCAAAGGCAGATGCTGGGCGACCAGGCGTCCCAAGGGTTCCTTATTCTATATATCCTTACCAACATCTGTTATTTCTTGGTCTATTTTAGCCATTCTGACAGGTGTAAAATGATAGCTCGGTGTGGTTTTGATTCTCATTTCCTTGTTTAGTGATGCTGAACATCTTTTCATGTGTGTTGGCTATCTGTATGTCTTCTTTGGAAAAATCTGTCACGTCCTGTTTTTATGGTGTTGAGTACCATAGGATGATTTTTAAAAACATGATTTGTACTACAGAATACACTCAACCAATGCAGTGCTAAATAGGAAAATAAACTGAGATGTGATTCAAAACATAGCCTTAAGCTCACTAGTACACAAAAGCTCTTTACAAGTCTTCCAACCCTACCTCTATCCCCAAAGATACATATTTTCCTGGGATAGTATTCTATGTGGGGTTTTGAGTGCCTATCTACACAATGCCTACATTTACAAAGTTTACAATATTTTTACATCTGCCCTCTTTTGAAACCACACTCTTGTGATCAAACAAAAAAAACTGCACACTTTTTTTTAAATGGAAAGCTGTCATTTTATTACTAATGTAAGCCTTTGATGCCAAAGAAATGAAGGTAATTTTACAAACTCAGAATGTTTGCAAGTACATGAAATTTCCACTGTATTGCAGTTTTCTAGTACACTAGCTCAAATGTATTTCTCTACAACTACTCCAGCATAACTCCTTTGGAGTTATTTCAGTCATCCTTAACATGTCAGTACCAGATACTTTGAATCTAAAATAAACATAAAAATTTTTAATTATTAACTTTAGATGAATGGGGTAATAAAGTCATCAGCTGATGGTCAGGACTGTTAATTTCCAATAGGAAACTTTCCTGAAATGTTTCTTCTGATACAGCAGTCATATGTTAGAATTTTCAAAAAATAAGGGCAGAACAAAAGTACAAGAAATTTCTGCAGCTTAAGCCTCCCATAGTCCAAAACCTCTGAGAGAAGCAAGGCAAAGCACCTTTCCTGCAAATTAAGTGGGTTTCCAGTATTTCCATGTCACTGAGCTTTCAGAGACAGACATGACATATATCATTAATATGTGTATCATCTTGGCTCTGGTTGTATTAATTATGCCTGAAGAGTTTAATACCCATCCAGGTCCAAAGGTGGAAGAACACATAAACTGGTATGGTAACTGGCAGGAGGAGACTGTAAAAGCACAGGCTGGTTGTGCTAGTGCAGCCCTGTGGGAAGTTTTCCTCCACAGAGGCTGAGTAGAACAGTCCTGCTAAAGAGACCAGTGGAATAAGGACAGTCAACGTAGGAAGAGACAGAAACATTCTTCTCCCCCACTTATTACCTGCCACTCTGACTTTTAAAAAGTTAAGTAGTATTAAGAAAATGCAGTTGTAGGCGCTGTTTTTAATTATGATCTAGTGCTGCTCCGTTTCTTCTTGCTTCTTATTCTGATGTATCATCCTAGCTGCCTGTGGTATCATATTAGGAATCCCATCAATAATTGGATAGGCTATTCCCAACTCTTCATTAATCAATTCATTTGTCGATGCTTCATATCTGAGGGGGGAAAAGAAAAACAAAATGAATTGTGGAAAATAAAATGCTTAGAAGTGTGTGGTCTTCAATAAACACCACCATTTATCCAATTCTTGACAGAGAGTTAAATTCCAAAAAAGTAGAATTAAACTGCTTCTAGGGTTGCCTGGGTGGCTCAGCGGTTTAGTGCCGTCTTCAGCTCAGGGCGTGATTCTGGGGTCCTGGGATCCAATCCCACATCAGGCTCCCTGCATGGAACCTGCTTCTCCCTCTGCCTGTGTCTCTGGCTCTCTGTATATCTCTCATGAATAAATAAGATCTTTATTTTTTTTTAAATGTTTATTTATTTATGATAGTCACACACACACACACACACAGAGAGAGAGAGGCAGAGACACAGGCAGAGGGAGAAGCAGGCTCCATGCACCTGGAGCCCGATGCGGGACTCGATCCCGGGTCTCCAGGATCGCGCCCTGGGCCAAAGGCAGGCGCCAAACCGCTGCGCCACCCAGGGATCCCAAATAAGATCTTTAAAAAAATAAAAAACTGCTTCTTATTCTAAAAACAGTATTAGCCAACTGAAACATTTCTCTTAGAAAATGAATCTCTAATTGTTTGCATTTTGGTCAGTTTCTCTTGTATTTTTTCATTTTATTCTCGAGCTACACCTTAATATGTATTTTTAAAATCCAGTTAGAAGATCCCTTTTCATCAAAATATTCCTTCCTAACTCTGGTCAACCCCAAAACCATCCCAGTTAATTTACTACTGAAACAGCCACTAGAGGAAAATTAAAATTCCCCACTATTTTAGAGCGCACGCTTAATACAGCAACCTAATTGAACCACTGGAAGGAAACCACTGAAAATCAAGATATACAAAATAAAAGTTTGAGGAGGAGAGAGGAGAAACGAGGAAACTGAAAACAATGCATCTGCAGCGAGCTAGTTACACAACTAACTAAACGGTAGATCAAATGGTCATTTCAAGGTATAAGAAAATTGAGTGTCTTCATTATGGGAAAACATCTAGTTAAGAGAAACGTAAAAAGATTGAAAAAAAAAAATGACTAGCAATCCACCACCCAAAATACCACTGATAACAGTCTGGTGCAAAACTAGTGTTGTCAATGTTCAGTTTCAGTAGCCTGGGAGTGTAGAGTTCTTTAAAAAAAAAAAATTTAACTCGGGCAGCCCGGGTGGCTCAGCGGTTTAGCGCCGCCTTCGGCCCAGGGCGTGATCCTGGGGTCCCGGGATCTGAGTCCCACCTCGGGCTCCCTGCATGGAGCCTGCCCCTCCCTCTGCCTGTGTCTCTGCCTCTGTGTGTGTGTGTCTCTCATGAATAAATAAAATCTAAAAAAAAAAAATTTAAACTCATTTGATTAACATACAGTGTATAATTAGTTTCAGAGATAGAGTTTAGTGCTTCATCAGTGGAACCTAACACCCAGTGCCCATGACATCAGGTGCCCTCCTTAATGCCCGGCACCGGTCACCCAACCGCCCCCCACCCCCAGCAACCCTCCGTTGGTCTCCTAGAGTTTGTCTCCCTCTCTGATTCCGTCTTATTTTATTTTCCCCTCCCTGAGCTGTTTTCCCTAAGGACTCCAGGGAGACCCTACGACTCTACAAGACCCGGCCGGTCCAGAACTAAGAGCCAAAGGCGCAGCAGCGCACGCAGCTTAAAAATGTTTAAGGCCGTCACGCATCAGCTGTAGACTTCCATACGAATTTTTAGTTATTTTTCACCATCTTGGCTTAAAGATCTCACACCCACGGACCAGCCCCGACTCCCAACAGTTCATGAACCTGGCGGCGCGTGGGAACCACTTCGGGCCTTTTAAGAAAACGCCTCGCGCTAGTCCGGCCCCCAGCCCGGCTGACTGGGTCGGTCTGCGCCGGCGCACCCGAATCAGCATTTAAAAAAAAAAAAAAAAAAAAAAAAAAAAGGTTCCCCCGGCGAGGCGACCGCGCGGCCAGGGGGGAACCTCCCAAGGCTTCCAGCCGCGCCTCGGCGGTGTGACCTGAGCGGCCCGGGGCTCGGCTCGCGCCCCGCCTCCTCCCGCCCTGCCCGCCGCAGCGGGCGGAGCCTGGCAGCCGCCGGGCCCGGGGCCACGACACGGCTGCGGGACACCCCGGCCGGGGCCGAAGGGCTCCCCAGGGCCGAGAGCGGCCGCGCGGTGGCCCCGCGACCCCCGGGGGCGCGCGAGCCGAGGCCGGCCGCCGGCGAATCTCACCTGAGCGGCTTCTTGGAGAGCGGGCACACCAGGAGCTCGAGCAGCGCCGGGTCGAAGGCGCGGGGCGGGCCTCCGGTCCTCTCGCTCTTGTCTGAGGACCGCCGCGCCCCCGACGCGTGAAGGCGCCTCCGGGCGACCGCGAACGACGGCCCGCGCGGACCCCGCAGCGCTGAGGCGAGCCAGCCGCACGCTCCGCTCAGCATGGTCTGGCAGCCCGCAACCGCCGCCCTGCCAGCGCCGGGCCGCTCCGCGCTCCGGCCGCTCCCCGCGCAGCCGCCCCGCCGCCGGCCAGGCCCCGCCGCCGGCCAGGCCCCGCCGCCGGCCAGGCCCCGCCCCCGGTGCCGCGGGAATGCGGTCCCCGGGCGGGCAGGCAGGAGGCAGCCCTGGGGTTCCGGGGGCGCCCCCGACGCGACTGCTTTTTCCCGCCCCACCGCTCGGTAGTTACGGGCGGGGCCGGTCGCCGCAGGACTCCAGGGGCTGTTCACCGCGTTTACCGAGGACCGACAAAGCCAGGGCTTGAATCGGGGGCATTTTGAGTTTTCACCAGGGCTTATCGCAGGCGTGCCAGGAAGCCGGTGGCCGGATCTCAGAGTCCCACAGGGTTAAGCTTGCACCTACGTGGTTATCTCCAGAAAGAGGTTTCAAACACGTATTGGGTATCTTAAAAGCATGGATTTGTTTTATGTAAATTACCATAGCACCTGTAACCTCCCCCCCCCTCTTTTCTTATTAAGTGAAAACTTGAGGGGCCCCTGGGTGGCTCAGTGGATGAGCGTCTGCCTTCGGCTGAGGTCGTGATCCCAAGGTCAGGGGATAGAGTCTAGCTCAGGCCTGCCCCCGGGTCCTGGGATCGAGTCCCGCATCAGGCTCCGCGCGGGGCGCCTGCTTCTCCCTCTGCCCGTGTCTCAGCCTCTCTCTCTGTGTCTCTCAAGAATTAATATATAAAATCTTAAAACACACACACACACACACACAAAGAAACTTTAGAGCCTGAAAAGAATAGCATAGGCCTCTTAACCTCCCAGAAGTCCAGCTTCTACTGTGAATTCAACCGCATCATAAAGCGCAGCCAGTTTATAAATGAGCTGGTGACAGCGAGGAGTCTGAGCAACTGTGTAACCAGGCGGATGTACATTAGTTGGACGGGAAATCCGCTCAATGGATTTTCCGCGCCAGGTTTGCCTCTGGTGCTCTAGGGAAGTGGTCTCAGGCTTGATCTCTTTCTTACCATGCGGTAGGGTTGGGCTCTGGGGCCTGGCAGCTCGGTTTCTGGTCCATGCTTTACTAGCTGTGTAAGTCCTGCCAACGACTTAACCACTCAGTTTCTTTTCTTTTTTTTTTTTTTTTTAAGAATTTTTTAAATTATTATTTATTTATTTATGATAGTCACACAGAGAGAGAGAGAGAGAGAGAGAGGCAGAGACAGAGGCAGAGGCAGAGGCAGAGGCAGAGGCAGAGGGAGAAGCAGGCTCCATGCCGGGAGCCCGACGTGGGATTCGATCTCGGGTCTCCGGTCTCCAGGATCGCGCCCTGGGCCAAAGGCAGGCGCAACCGCTGCGCCACCCAGGGATCCCCACTCAGTTTCTTTATTGTATGATAAGATAATGGCACTTACCTCATGAAAATCTCCTTGTGGGCATTCACATGGGATCTTGCAGGCAAAGAATATTTAGAAAAGTGATCCGGACAATTAACAATTGAGTTAATGCTCAATTAATGTTCTCTATTGTTATTTTTATGTCCTCTGTTCTTTCCAGTACATTGTGCTAGAAGATTCTTTGTTAGTCATCAGTTTTTTCCCTTTGTTTTGCTGAATATGGACTTGAGCCTTTTTTGTTTCATTGGACTTTACCGTTTTACACTTTGAGCTCTTGGGAGATAGGGGTGGGAGTGAGGGATGCGCAGATACAGATGACAAGATATTTGCAGGTTTCTCTTCCACTCGGAATGTAAAAAATAGAGAATCTTTTATATTTACTCTTTTTCTTTAAAAAACTCCACTACAAAAAAAAAAAAAAAACCTCCACTACATTATTTGATGCTCTTTGTTCACTAATGCTCAGAAGACGTCAGCATCAGACAATTTTCAGCGATGTAGCCTCAAGAGGGACTATTATAAAGTTCCTATGTTTACTTTCACCTCGTTTCCTACTAGGGCAGTAGCAGGAATTAATTTTTCAGTTGTAGTTAGTTGATACTTTAGGTCCTACAGAAGGAGTGGACTATAAGAAAAATATACTTCAACTGTGTTTCAGTGAGCTATGGAGAGCAGAGCTTGATTTCTGCCAGCACTGAGTGGACCCAGGCCAGGCTGGGCAGACTTAGGGTCTTAGCCTTTGTGGGGTAGAGGCAGGTGCCTATGCTTGAGACCAGGTTCATGAGCCTCAGTTTGGCTTGCCTGGCTGACCGATCTCTATCACCTGAGTTTTCTAACCAGTCATAAATAAATTAGTGCCAGTTTGCCTCCATGTAGAAGGTTCAAAGCAGGTCAGTTTACTTTCATTTTTGTTCGTATTTGAGGGAAATGTAGAGGAATAGCAAAGCATTGAAAACATCTTCAAATTCCTAAAGCCAAAAATCAACAATCAATATTACTTAGGAACATCCGAGTGTTTGATATATTAATTCTAAACCATGTAAATATTAAGTTACAAAATGTCCTTAAGTAGCCCTTAGTAATTAAGGAACATAACTCATTTCTCTGTGGGCTATACTAAAGCTGAATGTAGATGACAATATAGAATTGTAAAGTCATTTTCTATGGGCATGACTGTGATCTTTCCCAGTGCAGAGACCTGTGCACATTGTAATGATGTAATGGGCTTTGGGCTCAGGTACTGTATAGCTGTGTGACCTTGGAGAAGTTACTTAAACTCTCTGCTCCAATCTTGTCATCTGTAAGATAGTATAATAATAGTGCCTATCTTCCTAGAGTTGAGAGGATTAAATAAAATAATACAAGTGAAGTGTTTCGCTTCAGGGGATTGGCACGGAATGCACATTTAAAAATGCTAGCTGCTGCAAAATGACTGTTGTGAAGTTGGTGAAAATTCTGGTTGAAAAGGGAAAAGCACAATGTACCACTGCGCACCTTAATTTTAGCTGGCATGGAATTTTTATGGGTTCCATTGTGGATGATACTGACATACAACTCTTTGGCTATCATACACATTAAGTGAGTTAGAAATCTTGGCAAATTAGGGGCTAAAATATATATCTAAATAAAGTCCCATAAATACCAAATTTGGGGCGGTTGGAATTTGGGAATCTCTGATCCAGAGAAAGAAGTTAAAATCAATTTTCCACTAGATGGCATCATCCAGTATTTGAGCTAATATTTATTCCTGCTCATATTTTTCTTTCTGTGATTACAAAGATTTGCTTTTATTTTGCCAGTGGTTTCCTTCATTTGAGGACATCTATTTTAGGGGGGAAAAATCACAAAAATTTTATTAATAGCTTACAGTTATAATGAGTTCATTGAAATAAAGGGTCTAATAGATAAATGGACAAAAAATATAAAAGAAATTCATAAACGAGAAAATGCAGTTGATTAGTAAACAGAAAATATCAATAGTAAAGTAATGCAAGTTTCAAACATCAAAGAAGTTTCCATTTTTATAAAAATGACAAATATTTTAAAAACACAATCTATCATTATGGTGTCATACAGAATAGTTTCACTGCCCTAGAAATCCCCTGTGCTTTACTTGCATCCCTTCCTCTCCCCAAACCCTTGGAAACCACAGACATTTTTACTGTTGCCATAGTTTTGCAACTAATGTCAAATAGTTGGAATCATACAGTCCGTAACCTTTTCAGATTGGCTCCTTTTACTTAACAATATGCATTTAAGGTCTCTCTGTGTCTTTTCATTATTTGCTAGCTCATTTCTTTTTACTGTTGAATAATATTTTATTTCCTGGATATACCATAGTTTATTTTTCCATTTACCAATTGAATGACATCTTGGTTGTTTCCAAGTTTTGGCAACTATGAAAAAAACTGCTATAAACATTCATATGCAGGTTTTTATGTGGACATACATTTTTAACTTATGTGGGTAAATACCAAGGAATGTGATTGCAGATCATATGGTAAGAGTGTATTTAGTTTTGTAAGAAACTGCCAAACTGTCTCCTAAAGTGACTGTACCATTTTGTGGTTCCAGCAGCAATGAATAATTCCTGTTGTTCTACATCCTTGCCAGCATTTGGTGGTGTCTGCCTTTTGGATTTTCACCCCACTGTAGTAGGTGAAAACTTGCAAGTCCCTAATGATGTATGAAGTTGAGCATCTTTTTGTATGTTTATTTGCTATCTGTATATTACCTTTGGTGAGGTGTCTATTCAAATCTTTTGCACATTTTAAAAATTAGATTGTTCATTTTCTTACTGTTGATATTTCAGAGTTCTTTCAACATTTTGAATAACTATCCTTTATCAAATATGTCTTTTGAAATATTTTCCGTAGTCTGTGGCTTGTCTTTTCATTTTCTTTATATGTGTTTATTATACAAGAGTATATCAAAGTTCAGGATGCTGAGAGATATAAATCAGAAATGTTTTTTCCCTGAGGATCTTTTATTTTTACTTAAGATAATCTTCCAGTTTTTTCTTTTAATTTAATTTATTTATTCATGAGAGGCAGAGACGCAGGCAGAGGGAGAAGCAGGCTCCATGCGGGGAGCCCCACGCAGGACTCGATCTCCAGGATTACGCCTCAGGCCGAAGGCGGCGCTAAACCGCTGAGCCACCGGGGCTGCCCTACTTTAGATAATCTTAAGTAACCAACATCTATTTCTTCCACACATTCTTTAACCTTCTGATTGCAGGGTTTCTTTCCTTTGCTGCTGAACTCTTTCAAAGATGTAAGCACAGATTTTTGACCCCATGTACCCCCCCTTATGAGAGGCAAACAAAAAAGAGGTGAACCCATGGTCCAGTGTTGTGATCCTAACTGAGCCCCTGTTTCTCTCCCTGGAGAAGATAATCGACAACGACAACGTTCATTTACAACTTGAACTCTCTCATTTGGCACACTGAAAGTTAAGTCTCCTCCAATCCAGTGATATTACAAAGTAGAAAGAATGCAAATATTTCTCATGTCATACCATAAGATATAAAAATGGCAGAACATTCCATTCTCTGTTCCATTCCCTTGTTATAATTAACACAAACCATCTTGTGGGAATAGAGTGACCTACTTTGATGTATCTTGCTTTGTACGTGATAGTTTAACACGTTAGATATTCATAGATCCAGACAAATGGCCAAGAACTCCCAACCTCACTTCACAG